AAATGAACAGCAGATCCCAATCTTATCTAAAGGAATATTGATAACTGATTACTGCTAGATGAGGACCAGCTGACCTTCCTAAAACAAAGATCTCTAGATAGGCTGACTAGATTCACCAGAAGGGCAAGTAGTGGGGAATGGCTGGGTGCTGACAACACAGCAGACAGTAGCAGGGATATCAGAGCATAAGGGCTTTAGTGGGGGGAGGGAGGCTATGGGAGGGTGCTACCTGGGAAGTGGGTGTATAGTTGAATAAGATGGTTTGGCATGTTTTGTGTGATACACACACACACACACACACACACAGAAAAAAAAACAAATTTTTTAAAATATATTTGAGGAGGGAGCATGGAAATTTACATTATGTTAATTAGTAGATGTGAAAAACATTACCATTGAAATCCACTGATGACTTTATATCCATGCTCAGGTGCCAAGAATGTCAGAAAGTAACCAACTGTGACTAGTAATAATCAGATATATAGAGATTGGAGATGCATGTGTAAACATCTAAATATTAGTTACATTAAAAAATGAGTTTTTCTCTGTGAAACAGAATATTTAGTAATGAAATGGAGATCTCTTTTAAAGGTCAAAATCCCTTTGAATTTTACGTCTTATAGGGTTTATACTGAGCACAATATTGTATAACTGTATTAGTTCAACTGTAAGAACAAAGCTTTCCCATGTCATTAATGGAATGACCTAAGAAAGAAGTAACTAAATTTAATCTTTATTCAAATTATACTAAAATACTACCATATGACCAAGTGCACGATTCCTGGGCACATACCTAAGGGACTCCATACACCACCACAGAGATACTTGCATATCTAGGTTCATTGCTGCTCTACTGATAATAGCTAGGAAATAACAAAGCTTTCCCATGTCATTAATGGAATGACCTAAGAAAGAAGTAACTAAATTTAATCTTTATTCAAATTATACTAAAATACTACCATATGACCAAGTGCACGATTCCTGGGCACATACCTAAGGGACTCCATACACCACCACAGAGATACTTGCATATCTAGGTTCATTGCTGCTCTACTGATAATAGCTAGGAAATGGAATCATCTTAGATGTCCAACTGATTAGTAAGTAATCAAAGCGTGGTACCTACACACAGCAGAATTATACTCAGCTGTGAAGAAAAACGAAATCATGAAATTTATAGGAAAATGGATAGAACTGGAAAATATTAACTAAGTGAGGTAACCCAGGCCCAGAAAGACAAAGACTGCATGTTCTCTCACATGTGGATGCTAGCTTTGAACTTTTAGATTTATATGTTGAATTCAGAGTGTCTGTAGAGGTCAGGAAACTAGAAAGAGCTCAGGAATTGGGGAGGGGATAACAGATCAAATGTGATATAAAAGTAGGGGGGTATACTGCTGG